TAGGTTAAGGAGTAGTTGAAATTCAAAAATTCAGAGAGATTTCTTTGTACAGTAAGATTAATACTGAACGCAAAGGTATTAACTTGACTTGTAGTCGTGGCTACTTCCAGTCCCCTTTGGTGGCTGGCAGAATCACTGTACTTGCATGACCAACTGACTACACACTGAATTTTACTCTTGCATGCTGAAGGACCTGCACTACATATGGGTTTGGGAGTTATTTTTTTTTAAAAAAAAAAACAACTTCTGCCTTAGTCTGAATAGCTTATGAAGAAAACAGCAGTTCCTTCTTTATCTTTTGACACGGTAGAGGTGAGAATTAATTCTCAAATTAGAGGAAATGACAATCTGCTTGGAAATAGTTCTTGACCAGTAAAGGGTGACATTTGACTGAAGAACTACATGTAACTGGCATAAAGATGTTCCCTTCACTCAGGGATGTTGTGGATCTCAGAACTTTGATTAAAACAGTATGTGTGTTCTGATGGTATTTTTACCCTTTTCAGACAAACTACAAGGCTAGATGCACTAATCCCAACATAAAGGAACTGTCTTGCTCTTTTAATGTCATATGTTGCAGAGTTCCTTTAGAAAGGAGCCCTTCTTCCAGCATAACATTTAAGTGATATTTAAGTGATGTGCTTGCTTTTATATAGAATCATTACAGATGTTCAGAAAGACTTCATCGACACAATGTTGGAGTAGAGTGATATGCATTTATGCAATAGAGACTTCCTGAGAGCACCAGTCAGTAAGAATACATAGTCCCTCATTATAGCCTTACAATCATGCTGACCAACAAGTTCATTGTGAGAGCCTTCACTTGAGAAACCTTCTCTGTAAGTTGCTTTCCAGTGAACTAATTTCTATTTCAAGATGTCTGTTTCCTAAGAACTTATTCTCGTAATAAAGGCATCAGATTTGGTGTGTACCAGACTTAAGAAGAAGTTAGCAGTGGGAGCTCATGGCTACATGGAGGGGACTACTTAAGGCCAAACACTTTCTGGAAATCCACGTTATTTGTCCCATCTAAGGCCTAACTTTGATCCAGATTTACACATGTTGGAAAATCGGAGGAGTATATTTAATTTTCAACTGATACAGACTGAACTGAGGTTCAAAGAATCGAACAGAAGTCTCACACATTGCTGCCTACTGCAGTTAAGCATTGAACATGTTAGTATGCCTCTGCTAGCACAGACAGATGATAAATGCTTCTTAGCCTGTTTTGTAGACCATCATCTTTCCAGGTGAGGAGAGGAGGAGGAAGGAACGAGGCTGGTAGGCTATTGTGTTAAATTTTCCTCAAAATAAAAATGCATATACCTGCATTACACTGGTTATTTACGATCTCTGAGAAATTAAGCCTCTGGCAGGTGAACTTTTGATCCACGTCTATTCAAGGTTCACAAACGTATGTGCTCACTCTCTACTAGACTTTTGAAAGGCTTGATTTAGTTTTTACAACTTCTGTATTTTAAGAATAAAACTGTCACATGCCTGCAACTTTATCCACATGTATCCCCTCTGCTGTTATCAAAGAGGACTTTCAGCAAAACCATATTTATATTCTGTAACAAATGTTTCTGAAAGATTTCTGAATTCTGTAAGAAATCTTCCACCTTAATTTAGGGAGTTTTTTAAACATTTTTGTAAGGTGTACTCCAAATGTACTTCCTGGTTGTTATTCTGGGAAGAGACATGGAACAATAATGCTTTTGCTGAAAACTGGTATTATAAGGTAAATTCTGCTCAGAAGGTCTACAGTTACCAGAATTGAGATGCCTCTTGACAGTCTACCTTAAAGGGTACCCTACCATAGCATCCTACTCAACATCCTAAAATAAAGCCTGAATTTCAGGGCTCTTTCTGAACTGTGGCTGTTCTTCCTGTTGCCCTTTGATATACTGACCAACAGTGCTTACAAAGTGCGCTGCCATGTAATAACTCGCATAAGGAGCTTTTACCATGAAATTAATTATTTTAAGCTTCTTAGTCTTTTCTTGTGTGCTGAATCAGAACTTAGTGCTACCTTTTACGTAGAAATATTGTTACTCTTTAATGCTGTCATGGGTGTCTTTGAAATGGTGTAGTTTCTGATGGTCATGTGGAAAAACGTCCCATGAACAGATGGGAAATTGGCACCAACGTACTCAAATTGCAAACTGAAAAAGAGAAACCCGATCACCTAAGCTCTCAAGGGCCAACCAGTGTCCTTGGAAGTGAAATCCGACTGGCTTTTGTGTTTTGAAGTCAAATATTTTATTCGGCAAAAAGAAGTCACTAGAGTAGAAGACTCCTGCATTTTATCTTTTGTTTTGGTTTGGGTTTTTGTGCTTCCCAGGAGAAGAATATTGCTGAAGCTGCTTTCACAGAAAAGCTCTGCAGATGTTGGCCAACCTAGCTGAAATTACTGTCTGGAATCTCAAGTGTGGAAAAAGTGTAAGGCAGCATAGAATAGTCCCATGCTATTTTTGTCCCATCTTGTTTGGGAAGGTGTTGGAGAGATGCTTCATGAGGCCAGTGCTCTTTTTAGGACTGCAAAGCGGTAGTAGAATCTCTGGAACTTCAGCTAACACGTAGCAAGAGGGTGTTGAGCTAATGCTGCTGGGAGTTCTTTGGATGTTCCACATTTCTTGTATGCAGACAACTTATAGTCAAGTTTCCTTTTGAGGGGGGGAGGGGAGTAAGACTTCAGTATATGAAAGTATGCTTTAGAGCTTTACTAAAGCTGTGTAAAAGACCTGCTCTCTGATGATGGTTTTAGGGACTGTATAAATCGGTGAGTAGGGAAGAAAAATGATCAGGATTTGGATGGAATGTGGTTTTATTAACTGTGAGCTGTGGAGGCCTTTGACCTGTCTGAAGTGGCAGAACAATTATGGGGTTTGTTTTGACCATTTTATGTATGTATAGCCAACAGATGGGACAGAAAAACTCTTAATAGCCAGAGGAACAAACTTAAACAGAAGTAGATTTGGCAGATTTGAGAGCAAAGTATTTATGAGAAATCATTTCCTTTGATGTGAATGTGAGACAAAGGCTGGTTTCGTATGGACAAGTTCTCTGTTTAGTACAGTTCCATTGCTAGCACAGCTTGAATAGGCTGGGCAGCAGCGGGAACTGCTCATGCATTGAGAGAAAGGTCTATGAAATACAAAGTAAGAGCTCATCTTTGCTTTGGTGTTGGTTCAGGATGCAAATTTTGCATTGGCCAAGTCCAGTTCCCATCCATCTGCCAAAATACGTGCCTGGAGCTTGCTGACTTTCAGTGGCTATCTTGCACACTCAACCTGGTCAACAGCATAGGCTTCAATCTGCTTTGCTGCAGATGCTGAAACTAGGCATGGAAGAGGTGCCCCTTGGGTTAGCACTGCTAAGTAGCTGCATGCTTAGCTACTCTGCACTGCTAGTTGCATCAAATGTCTATGTGTTAGATTTTTTTCATGGCATGATTACAATCTGAGCTAACCTGACTTGAGAAATTGAAGCAGATAGCTTGAGTCTGCTTTCTGTAAAAATGTAGACTAAAGGAGTTGTTTTGGAGAGTGGCCCAGTTGATTTCTTTCCCCTGTTAATCTCACATTCTCAGTAGGCACTCATCTGTAGCCTTGGCCTGTATATTCATACTTCATTCATTTGCTTCTCTGAGTAGTCATGATCAGAATACATTCATTCTTGCTGATCCAAGACGTTTTACCTGGAGTCTGAGTGGCTTTTCAGCACGTAAGGTAGATATGACAGCCAATGTCAATAGTATCTCCCTTTGAAGTACGAGCACTGGTATTGACTACAGCAAACTTCCTGGATATGTGTCAGCTAAGCTGGAACGCTGACTTAGCTATCTATGCATGTGAGTTCTTGCAGTGGAGGAAAGGGAGAGAAGGTGCATCTGACCTTTAAAAGGGTGGTGTTTCAATAATGTTTATCTTCTCAGTAGCTAGAGCGATGAAGTCTGGCAGGGAGAAAAACTGATAGTTTTACTTCTGCAGTGGTGTGGAACAGTGTCCACTAGCACACAGCTTTTAGCACCACATCTTTGCCAAGGCAATGATATGTGTATGTGTGTGTGTTCGTTAGGCACACATCCCATCCCAGTCCACTGCATCACTTGACAGCCTGGATGGTTTCTCTTCGTGGTGGTAAGAAGTCACAACACACTTGTTTATGTAGCACTCGCTGCTCCGGTGTGGTTTGCAAGCATCACTGATAACTGTGCACATACGTGTGTATATATAGGGATTACTTCATCTGTCATGCCTCCTGTTGGTTCACTACTGTTTTGTGAACAGTGACAGCTGTCTGCTAGTACATAACACCACTGAACAGTTTAGGGAGAGAGAAGGAAAGTATGTCCAATTAAAACTAAAAGGGAAAATTAGTAAAGTAGAAAGTGATGGACCATGCAGGGGTATCATGAGGGTATATGGTAATTTTCACTCCAATCGTGAGTCACTGGGATTCTTGGGATTTGCTCAATGTAAGAGAGTGGAGAAATAAGGAACAGAGGACACTGTTTCTCTTTAAACATAGTGAGGCCCAACCTTTGTGTAGACAGGGCAAGCAGTAATTCCATACCACCTGGTTTTGTAAGGGGTTACTATAGCGTGTAAGCTTGACCTCAGCTCATCAAAATAAAACTTGCTCAGTTCATACAACATCTTGAAAACTGCTACGGTGCATAGCATATTCTAGCGTAGCCTGGAAGTACCTGGAGAGTAGGACTCCTTGGTATTTTCACCTATGTGCCTAATGCACTTTTGACAGCGCAAGCTGAATAAAGTAGGAAAACAAGAGGAAAATGCTTGCTCCCTGACAAAAGCCATTTCAAATGTCTTGAGTTGACTGTTCCTTCTTATTCTAAAGCATTTTTAGCAAGTTTCTGTGAGTTTCTGAAACTTAGTAGCTTATAAACTGTATAATCTTTTGTTGTCTCAGTTTCAGAATTAAGAAAACTGTTTGAACCAAACAACCAAGATTTTTTGGAAATGAAAAGGTAAAAAAAAAAAAAGTCTTTGGCCTGTAAAACAAAACACACAGCTTGTTTTGTTACCTCCTCTTAGAAGCTCTCCCTTCAAATACTCAAAGATGCCTGATTTCACATTTTTCACATCTTTTTCAGAAAAGAGAGAATAGCTAGACGCTTAGAGGGAATTGAAAATGACACACAACCTATGCTTCTACAAAACTGTCCAGGATCAGTCACACACCGTTTACTAGAGGAAGATACACCAAGATATATGCGTGCAACTGATCCATACAGTCCCCACTTAGGTAAGTAGTATTTGTCAGTTAATCTTGCATTGTTGAATTACTTCATGTTTACTACCCTATCATTTGTGCAGTACTTGGAAAAGAGTTTTATAGAAGAGCTGTGGTCAGGGTTTTTTTAACTTGCCTTTTATTCTCCAGATGTCTTATTTGAAAAAGGTTGATAATCCATATTGTTTTAAGACAACAATAATTTGATATGAGACTCTTAAAGACCTACAACTAATACACATTTCTTAATCATTTGTATGTGCTTTTGGAGACATAAGTGCAAAAATGTAATGTGTGAAGTCACTAGTACGCTTTGATTTGGAAGAAAATGGGAAGCTTTTACTTCACTTGATATGAATGGTGGGTAGGGTACTCAGAGTTTTGGGATGGACTTGCTCATGTATGTTGTACTTTTGACAGGAAGATCAAATGAAGAGGAGGAAACTTCAGATTCTTCTGTAGAAAAACAACCCAGATCATCCAGATACCGAGCAGAAATCACAGGAGGTAATACAGAGCCCTTGTACAGTACAGGAAACATGGATGTCCAGGAGCTAGAGTCAAAAGCAGAAAGAATAGCTAGGTACAAGGCAGAGAGGCGGCGCCAGCTGGCAGAAAAATACGGATTATCTCTTGATTCTGATTTGGATTCTGACTACTCATCCAGATACACGCGGGCAAGGAAAGATCCCGACAGTGTGGAAAGAAAGGGAGTGAAAAGTGAAAGGCAAGATGATGAAAACAAGGACTGTGGCTCCCTGTATTTGAGCAGGACTGAGATGAAGGAGTCAAAGAGTGTGATTTCTGAATCCAAAGAGTACTCCAGCCATGAAAAAGATGGTGTTCCAGATAAAGAAGACCTCTCAAATGAAAAGAGTGATAGAAAAGCAGATGATGACAGTGCCATTAGACAAGCTTCTGACCCTTCAGCAACCTTGGATAGTTCTATCTCCCTTTCCCTTTCTGGACGAGAATCTTCCTCCTACAACGAAGTGCCAATATCACCAAAGCAAATCCCCAGAGAGTCCCTTTCTTCACCAAAGCGGGCAGCCTCACCAATCCATTTGCAGAATGACCAGCCCTTGCACAGTAACATCAGACAAAGGTAAGCATGATTTTTATTTATTTGTTTGTACAGTAGGTTCCTTAATCTTTATCACAGTCTGCAGTGGTGTCTACAGTATTTATGAGAATGTATTTATTACTTTTGAAGAATATATTTAGTGGCTTTGGATGTCTCAGGCTGGATTGGTTGGGTTTATTGAATCACAGTGTATTTCTGATACAAGGAAGTAGGGTATCTATTTCTATGATTAGATATGTCCTTGGTTTCACTTTATATTTATAGAATTTATGCTAAAATTAGGCCCTTTGAGTGGGGTGTGGAATAAGTTTAAGATTTTTACACAAACTAGAAATTGAAGCAGTTATGGTTGAAAATCTGCTGCTGTTGTTGTTGTTTTTTCACAACCTGTCAGAGCAAGCCTTTAACTTTTTTCCTTTATAGCCTGTAATTGTTTGGGTGGGGGTTTCCAAGTAAAGGCAAGCTGTTTCTCAATGAGATTTGAATAACTTCATGATTGCTTCTGCCAATATAAAACAGGTCTCAGTTAAAAGCTAAAAAGTGTCTTGGGTCAGTTGAAATAATAGTTGATTTCTTTTCCTGCTGTGAAAGTATAAAAACCCTTTTAAACTGTGACAGTTAGTCTTTCAGATAATATTGGGGTATGTGTGTGAAGGGGCAGAGAGGAGAGTTTAAATTCGATGCTGAATTTGGATAATGTAGCCTCCCTCATGGTATGCTGAATTACTTCAGATTTGACAAATTTACTCCAGTAATAGGGTAACCAGATTCTTCCAGAAGGGAAAAAAAAAAATAGTTTTCATGGATTTCAGATTGTAGTTTCACACTGTAGTGCAAAAACAGACTGTCAAAGTGTTATAGGGACTGAAAACAGCATGTGACTAAGAATTTTTTTGAAGTATGATTTTCTCTGTGATTCTTTAATTTCTAGGTAGGTGGATAAATGGAAAATAATAACTGCAAAAACTTAGGTTAAAATGTTGCAGCTAAATATTATGTAAATTGTAATTGTAACTTAATTGTAAACACATCTGAATCGTGCTGAGCAGTGCTGACTGTTTCTAAAAAACTGAAATGACCTGGCATAAACTGAACTGTTTACACTCTTCGGCATTTTTTCCAGTAGGTTCAGAAACAAGCTACCTTGACTGGACTTCTCTATCCTTCCCATCAAAATCACAAAACTTGATTCTTATTTGTTGTGGCCTTTCTTATTAACTCATATAAGCATACCTTAAAGCTTGAATGAGGAAGCAATCTTCCACGTCAAAGGTTAACCACCTGGTGAATTAATAGTCATCTATTTACAGGGCCTGTAAACTGCTCAAATGTACTTAGTCTTCTTTTTTGTTTCACTTTATTGCATAGGATACACCAGTAATAGTCCCTTAACACTGTTTTTCATAGCTTGTCATTATTCAGGTGACTTCCAGTCTTGCTGTCTATATGAGCTGTCACTGGATTCTCCCAATTAAGCCAAAAATTTAAAGGAATATTGTAATTTCAAAAAAGCCATCAGAAGGAAAGTAAGTTAACATAATTAGGAGATAGGAAATAATATCTTATATTTAGTTTATATTTTAAGCTTACAATTCTGCAACTACAGTAAGGAAAATATTCATTGCAGGATCATCCATACAACTGAGACCAGAGCAGTACTGAAACTCCTTGAGCTGACTAGGCTATTCCAGGCTCCAAAAATTGTTTCTGAAGCAGTCTCGACTCAAATATGACAAAATATTATTCCTTATCTTCAGATGGTCAATTTGAGATAAATCTCTTGATTAATCCAGTTACTGATAGGAAGGGATATTGGAGCAACGGACCTTTGGCAGGCTGTTTGTTTTATAAGGTGAAGGAAGGGACAAAGTGTTCAGGCTTAGGAAAGCAAAGAGAATAGCCCATCAAACTTTATAGCCAAGAATCTGTCTGCTGCAGTGTAAAAAGGGGGTTTATTTACTCTCATAAAGCAATCCTAGTCCCCGTTTCTGTGAGGGGAAACCAATGAAACACTGAACAATGAAATGCTTTCTAGGTTGTTACTCTTCCAACTTGGGAGAAGCTGCGCTGGGTGCAGCATCAGTGGGATGGCACTTGCCCTGGTGAAACAGCATGCTGGCTGTAGAGAGACACCTGAACCTGCTCGTTCACCAATTAGCCTTTAATGTGGAGAAACCAGGTCTCCTTATAAAGCTCTTTCATTTTTAGCTAACAAGTGTGGGTTTTTTCCTAATGCAGCTCTATAAACCAGCTACAAGTTCAGACTGAGCAGGCTGCAGGCACTACCAAATCATTCATTTTTACTTCTCTTTTCTGCAGTAGTGCCACACTAACAAATGAGAGACCGTGGTGAAAGCAGCAGGAGCGAGTCAGAACTTAATACAAATTGCTGACTGCATTATCCCTAATTTCAGATTCTTTCTGGACAAGGCTTAGACGGTCTTTGTGTAAAACATGTTTCCCACAATTACTGGCTGTCTTACCTTTGAAGAAAATCATCTGCACCCACCAAGATGTGGTGCGGCTCTTACAGCAGCCAAGAGTTTAAACTTAGGATTTGGTCTCTTGTTTGGATACGTGTGTAGGCAGTAGGTGGTATTTTAAAGGCCAAGTTGCCAAGAGCCTGTCCTTCATTTTAATACTCTGACAACTTCCAGTGCCAGGGCGTACTCACTGGTGTGTTATTCAGAGATTTAAGAATAACCTCTCAGAAACTCTCGTCCCTATTTCCGAATGGTAAAGTAGTCATTGCCTATTTCCATGCAGTCTGTTTAAAATTACTGTGTGGTAGTGTCCTGTAAGGCCATTTGCACAAGCAAAATGAGGACTAATGCCAGCTTTCCAGGTGGCTGCTATTTTGAAGTCCATTCCCCATTATATAGGTTGCAAAATTTTTATTAAATTTAAATTTGCTGAGTTCAAATTGGGAAATAAATGCAGCTTGCTTTGGAATACATATAAAAGCGTTGTGCCTTCAGTCCTAAGACGATTTAATAATTAATCCTATTATCCATCACTGAGAAGCCAACAAAGTGCTGAGAAGGTATCATTTGACATTGTCTGCATTTGGCTGCTGAAGTGGCTGATTAATTCTAAATTCAAAACATGGCTTGCGTTCTTCTGACTGCTCTCTTCAAAGGATGAATGATCAAGTACAGATAATTGCTGATTGGGCCATGCCTACTATAAAAATGTGCCAAAGTACACATTAAGAGACGAGAAGGAAGTTTGCTTGCTTCAAAGGAATTCCAGCTACCTGGTCAGCTCCTGTGAAGGGTTTGTACCCCCTATTCGGTCAGTTCCTTTAGGAATTCAAAAACATTTGGAAAAACAAAAGGTGTTTTAACAGTCGGTGTTTGACTTTGTTCTAAGCTTGGTTTGGATAAGGACAGCTGTAGGTGAGTTCTCAAATTTAAACTTATTTGCAGTAAATAGACTGTTACCTTAAGAACAGTCCTGACTTGACCTTTGTCAACTATTTTTATTAGAAGATCAGCTAAGAAAAATTGAAGTAGATGACCTGGAGCTTAATTTGGGATTTTCATCCCACATGGCTCTACTGCAATGCAAGGTCTTCCAGATGTAGCTATCGGTAATGGAAAGCAGCCTGGCCGCTTGTCGCCTCCGGGGAGCGTGTTTGTAAACATTAGTGTGGCCGGACAGTCTGCGCTTGCAAGGTTAAAAGTATTTGATGTGATTACTGTTGCTGAGGGACTGTAGATAAAGGTGGGCATTAGGAAAGCACTTGAGAAACTGTAGGTAGGTAGTCTGCAGACACCCTTTCCTGTAGGGCTTTTAAAAGTTTGCAGTGTTCTTGTTTCTTTTTATGCTTTCAGCTCCAAAATGGAAACAGAATAAAGTCAGGACACGATCAAATTGGGGGTTACTTTGTTTTTTAAGCTTTTCCTTTCCCCTGTCACCCAGTTACACAGCATGTTTTACTCGAGCTAACTTTGCGTTTCTGAAGCTTTTGTGATAGAGGGCTATGAGAGGAGAGAGAGGTTCCAGCTGCTCCTGAGAATTTCTTAGGAAGTAGGATATAGCCATCTGAATTTCAGACTTCATTAAACTCATATTACTACTTTGTTTTAGACACAGTAGTCTTTACCACTTTAAACCACAAATTAAGGGAATGGTTTTAGCAAGTTTTCCAGGTGTCCTTACATAAAACCCTTTAAACTGACCTGCAATGGCAAATGGCAAAAATAAGATTGTGTGGTTGCTTTCACTTCTCAAATTCTGGACAATGTACACTTGGGAAAGTTACCGTTGCAGAATATTTAACATTCAGGACATCTTTTAGATGTTTGTGGAATTAATATGATAGTTTCTTTCAGTTTATCACCTTTCGATTTGACTGATGTGCTGTGCTTTTATTTTCATGAACAGTCCTCTGCAACTGAGTAATTAGAAAACAAAAAAAGTGGTGGGGCGGGAAGATTGGGAGAAACAACGGGAGCATGTGTTGAGATCTCAACAATTACCTGAAGTTCTGTTTTCCGTAGTAGTGCAGGGAAAGCAAAACCTGAATGGTTTCTTCAGAAAGATTCGGAAGGGGACACACCTTCACTTATCAGCTGGCCCTCCAGGTATCATAAAACATAGCTATGTGGCTAACAACCAGACTACAAACCTCCCCTTTCTTTCCCTTTACTCTGTCTTCATTTAACACTTGCCTTTAATTTTCCTTTAACAGCAGCAAGTTAAAAAGTGTTGTTTCTTGCGGATAAACAGCTGTTGAAAATTTCTGAAGCATCTGCTTTTCTTGTAACTTACGACCGATTGGTATTTTGATGAAGAAGTACAAATGCCTCTAGCTTCTTCCACAGCTACTATTATTCTGGCTTCTGCTAATTTTTGTAACTTCTTATTTTATCCCACTTTGTACTCTGCAAACCAGCAGATTTTTATACCACACACCAATCCATCTTGGCATTTCCTACAATTATTTCCTTGAATTCCAAAGGACATGATACAACAGAAGTCAAAAATTTATATTGAAAAGTAAAGCAAAGCAAGATCTTGATCAGAGCTACAAGCAGCTGCTTTCTCCCAGTTCGGTAACACATACCATTAGTCCACCATGCAGGAAGACTCTTTTCTTTAAAGAAGTAATTAAAGTAATTCTTATAACCCAGTACTAACATCAGTGTGGATGTTCTGGAGAATGCTTGGTACATGTAGGTTAAGGAATCACTTTTTCAGACTGAACACACTTTCTGTGCTTAAGTAACTTTGAGAAGTTTCCCTGATAAGTGCACCCATCCTCAGAGATAAGAAGCACCAAAATATTAAAAAGGTTGGTGTTTCAGATAACTTTGGATATCCTGAATTATCCTCTCATATATTAATTTGCCTTTTTTTCTACACCTTGCTTTTTTTTAATAATGCAAACTCCAGAAAGTCTGTTGGTAGCAAGCTTGGAATTGCACACACTTTGAGCTGGATTACTTCCTTTTAAATAAAGAGCTAGTCTCCTATTGTACTTGAGTTTCTCTCCTTCCCCAGAATTACAATAATTTTTTATACCCATTTGGGAGGGGAGGAAGTACAGGGCTTTCATTTTCAATACTGTATGTGCGATATTTACAAACGCTCGCCCTGTAAGCTGTCTGAGCACTCAGCGTGGCTGTAAAACTGCTGGAGAGCTTGCCTGCAGTTGTAGTCATAGAGCAAAGGCTGCCTCCGGCTGTACGTGCTTGCCTTCCATTAGTGGAGTTGCATTAAGTGTCTAAAGGTAGAATACAACTGTTTTGCATGGATGTTACACAAGTCTAGAGGTGTTTCTAGAAAATACACTGAAGTAAGGTAACTTCGGTATCGTTCCTGTAAGTTTTGCATGTTAGAGTGTAATGAAATGTTTTAAAACAGAATGCCTGTTTCAGTTGGGTTTTGGAGTTGGTTTTTTTTTGTTTATTCCCTTTCCCCCCTGCAAGCCCTCTGAATAGCAACAGCCATGCCATAGTTTCACTTTGGGCTTTAAGGCTTGCACTTTCAACATTTTTTCTCGCTTACTGAAACAGGGTACACTACTTGTAACGTTTCAGATGTCTTGTATGATACACAAAAGCACAAGTAAAAAGGTCTCTGGCAAAACATCTGAAAGGCTAGGTGGAGATAGCAATGTGTTTTTTCATCCCTTTCCCCAACGCAGCAGCATCTTGATATGACATAAGCTGCCCAGTGTTTAGACATCTTCAAAAATCTGACTACATAACATGATTGCCAACGGAATTTACAATTTCAGGCTGAACCCAACGCTTTGATAATATAAAAAGCGGTTTTCATCATCTTGTTTGTTTGAGACTATGGGCATGTGCTGTTTGACAAATGCAGTTGTGACCTCATGGGAACATGCTGTACGTTTTCAGAGCTTGCTCAGTTACCTTCTCAGGAGTCGTGCATGTTTGAGGGCCTGTAAATCACTTGAATGTTTTTGAGCAATGTTACTGCTAAGATTCAGGGGGGAGGAGGGGGTTGCATCACAAGATTGCTTTCTTTTATGTATCGATCGCTTTTTATTTTAATACGATGTTGCTGTCTGTACCCACAGTAGGTGTCTGTGTTCCTTCCCAGATTGGGTATTGCTGTTCACAGCTTTAATCCTTTTTCTTTCTTAAAGAGTAAAAGTTAGAGAGAAACTGGTGAAAGAGGAAAGTGCTCGTGGAAGCCCTGAACTTGTCACAGACACAGTATCTCAGAGAAAATCCCATCCAGTGCCAGCCCACTACATGCCTCTTCAGACAGAAACATCTGCCTTTGATAGGGTTATAAATCAGCCCGTCAGTTCAGTCCGCCAACCAATACATGGCTATATTCAGCCTGCTGGCATTGCTCACACAGCTCAGCTGATGGCAACAGAAGAACCAGCAAACATCTCTGTTGGCAGCCACCTCCTACCAGACAATGTTAGCCTCTTAACAAAACCGTCAGCAGCCACTGCATCAGAGAGTGAAAAGAAAGAGGCACTTGGTTATGGAGCAAAGCCTGATGAAAAAGATTCCTTGGAGGGTGAACAGGCTTCCAAAGGCAGAAGACCAATTTTGCCATCTGAGATTCGCAGGCAAGGGAAGAACCATGAAGGCCTTTTTGGAGGAGGAGAATTGGATACCCCCGTGGGGAGTTCCTCTTTCGCAAGCAAGCTGAAAGTTAACTCAGAAGTTCAGAGGGAGCTGGAGTGCAATAAGAGGCAGGCTCCTGAGCAGCAGTTTAAGACCCCTGAGAACATAGAAAGGAGTGAAGCTGTTATGTACATACAGAGTGGGTCTGTATCACAGCCTGCCAAGGCAAAAGCTCCTGTTCGGAAAGTGTCGACAGCAAAGCATAAAGTCCTGACTCGCTCAATGTCTGACTATACTGTGGCTCCTAAGCTAGAAGCTTTTAAAAGTAAGGAGAGCATGGAAGCAAATGCACCAAACGGTGAGATTGGCATGGTTGACACAAAAGTCTCTGTTGCCCAGCTCCGTAATGTCTTTCTGGAGACTGCTAATGCCAACAAGAAAACAGAACTGTAGGTGACATTTCAGATGTATTTTCGTGTGAAACTTGCACGTCCTTGGCAAAAATTACACACACTCAACAGCAGTTGTGTTCGGCACTTAAAGCACACAGCTTAGCTCTCACCAGTGTGTACTGGAGGCTGAGATGGTTTGAATCCCGCTTTTGTGCTTCTGCTTGCTAGCGCAAGTTGTGATGTGGGGTAGCTGGAATGTGTACGTCTGCGCATGTTACCGGAGGAGCATGCAGAGTGATCTCTAGTGAATTGTTGAGATGCTTACATCTGTGCTTTACTTCTCTCTTCTATTTTCTTTTCTATGCGCTTTCTATCATGCGGTGTAAAAGTGAATCTCGGTTTGAGATGTCAACAGCAGGCAGCACTTTGTCTGCCAATGGTGACCGTGAAAGAGGGCCACGAAGGCCGAGGCGCTATTTTTCTCCTGGTGAAAATAGAAAGACTTCTGAGAGATTTAAAACTCAACCTATAACGTCAGCAGAACGAAAGGAGACAGATAGGTAGGCACGCATGTAGCCTGTGTAGCGTTCTGGTGCAGGTAGACATGAACAAGCTTGTGAAGAGACTTTGTTCACTTATTAGCATAATCATTTTGCAAGATTATTGTTTCTCTTTAGCAACAATCAAGTATTTGTTGTAGCTTCTTATAAAATAAAAACCAAAACACTGCCAAGAAACCAATTTGTTGCGAATCCCCCCCACGTAAAATGGTGAACAGTGGATCATCATAAAGTATTATAGCTGTCTGGTTCTGTCTAATAATAAATGCTTTTGTCTGTTTTTATATAGAGTTTCCTTTCCACCTGTTCTGCTTTATAATTTACTTTTTTTTGTAAACAACCAAAGCTACGTATTTTATGTTAAAAGAGCTGGCAGCAAATCTTAGACTTTATCTTCTGCAAAATGAACTGGAAATAATTTTCCTTTACTGTATTAAAGTTTGGCTGCAATTGCTTGCCTTTCTGCTTTATTAAAGGATGTCAAAGTGGAAACTGTTGAAACTTGAAAAATAGGTAAATTTTTCCCACTCTTAAGACTTGTGAGGTCCTGCTACTTCAGATGGAGTTTTAATTTAATTTTTGATGTCTTGTTTCCAACTAACTTCTTTCTGTTTGATAATTTTTCACTAGGTCAATTTTGAGTGCAGAAATACCAACTGCTGAAGGTATGCTGCTTACTATTTTCTGAGGAAGAAACTGGGAGCAAATGTGTTTGTTTTGTTTGTTTTAACTGGAGAACTATTTGATAATGCAAACAAAGTCCACTTGAACATAACTATCATCACCTATAATATGTTTGAAGTACCACTTTTCCTTGAGCCATGTCTACTACAGACTTGATTTCAAATTGATTTAAGTCCGAAAGTCTGTCTGTGGATGCTGAACTTCATATGTGAGGCAAGGAGTGGAATGGCTTGGCACCTTTCAGCATAGGGAGGGTTTTTTCTGATTTAGACAATAAATAAGCTAGTTGATGGAAAAAAAATACACATTTTAATCAGTGGTCTAGAACTAATAACTAAAAAAAGCCTTTACTGTAGTGTGAAACTGATATTGGTAACTTGTTTTCTAGGTAAGGAAATTGCAAGGTGCTGGTTATTAAACAATATAAATCAGT